TGAGTGTTATTGTCTTCTTTGAATTTGGGTTTCCATCATGATCACTAACATATGTTTGCATATTTTATTTATTGTAGTTAAATTCATCTTCATGAGATTCGCTAACTAGTCATGAAATTTTATTCTGTTAAAATAAAATATCAGATGCATTTAGGACCATAATGAGATGCATTTAGGACCATAATGAGGGGAGAAGGATTTAGTGCGCTTTACAGAGGGATTGTTCCTGGTCTATTTCTGGTATGTTACTGGCTCTTGTTATTTAGCCTGTCGAACTTGTCACTTAAAATTTTAACTATAGATTAAATAAAATGGGTGGTATTTTTCTTGAATAAATATAAAGTTCTTTCTTTCACAATATATTATGAATATCACACCATTGCGACTAGCCACTGCTCTTAAATTTGCCAATTAATATTATACAATATCAAAAACATCACAACAGATTCTTCCATTCAATTGCTGTTAAGTTACTAAAAGAATGTGTTTATTCATTTATTGAGTGATTGTTGCATGCTCATTAACTCGGGTCAGATAATGATTTCTTCATATCATCTCCTGCATTCACACATATTCTATGTTAGGAAATGATTAATAATTTCTCCACAAAATATCCCTTTACCCTTTCAGGCTTTTCCCCATTTTTCCCATGATGTGTGGCAATATGGTGGGAATTATTCAGATAAATAACTAAAGGATGAAAGATTTTTTTTGTTACCTGTTGCTTCATGGAAACTGGAGATATTCTTGAGAGTGAGTGCTATTTTCTTAAGGTTGAACTTTGGAGCAATCATGAATTTAGTGAGATGAGGGTTTGACAAAGTAACATTGAAAATTTTAATTTGGGACCAAAAGTACAATTAAAATAAAAGGGTATTAAAATCATTTCCAGATTTTTCTCTCCAAATGACATGGAATACATGCTTGATGTGTTTAAATATAGTGCCAATGTGTTTTAATGATCATGTTAAGTGATTATCACGTGACAAACACATTCCTTGAATCCTTTGTTACTTAGTAGTAGTGGGTTGGAGGGATCTGTTGTGAAGTTTCTTATAGTTTAAATGTTTAGGGTGAGTAGTTGCAACTACCCCAAATTTCAAGTGGTGTGTATATCTTTTTTTCTCAAACTTTATATCAAATTACTCCAAACTCGGATGGAATTTAGTAAAGCACAAAAACCTGCCTTCTGAGAATAATATCACCATGAATTTTTTTTTAGAGAATTACATTTTGGGTAGCATTGTCCAAAATATTTTCAACTTAGGAACATTTAACCAGATGGTGTTTGACAATATGCAAAGATAAATTCTTGTTTAAACCATATGTTGACTTAATTAACCATTCCTCTAAATTATTTACAAATTGAATTTATTTTCTTCTAAAAATTCCTAAATTGCAATTCTTCTTTTGAAAAAATCTCTTCATTACCTAGGATTACATGGTAATGGAAGGTACTTAGCAGAAAATTTGGCTGGAATAGCGTTAAACTTACAAGTATAGTAAGAAATTTCTCCACAAAATATCCCTTTACCCTTTCAGGCTTTTCCCCATTTTTCCCATGATGTGTGGCAATGTGGTGGGAATTATTCAGATAAATAACTAAAGGATGAAAGATTTTTTTGTTACCTGTTGCTTCATGGAAGCTGGAGATATTCTTGAGAGTGAGTGCTATTTTCTTAAGGTTGAACTCTGGAGCTATCATGAATTTAGTGAGATGAGGGTTTGACAAAGTAACATTGAAAATTTTAATTTGGGACCAAAAGTACAATTAAAATAAAAGGGTATTAAAATCATTTCCAGATTTTTCTCTCCAAATGACATGGAATACATGCTTGATGTGTTTAAATATAGTGCCAATGTGTTTTAATGATCATGTTAAGTAATTATCATGTGACAAACACATTCCTTGAATCCTTTGTTACTTAGTAGTAGTGGGTTGGAGGGATCTGTTGTGAAGTTTCTTATAGTTTAAATGTTTAGGGTGAGTAGTTGCAACTACCCCAAATTTCAAGTGGTGTGTATATCTTTTTTTCTCAAACTTTATATCAAATTACTCCAAACTCGGATGGAATTTAGTAAAGCACAAAAACCTGCCTTCTGAGAATAATATCACCATGAATTTTTTTTTTAGAGAATTACATTTTGGGTAGCATTGTCCAACATATTTTCAACTTAGGAACATTTAACCAGATGGTGTTTGACAATATGCAAAGATAAATTCTTGTTTAAACCATATATTGACTTAATTAACCATTCCTCTAAATTATTTACAAATTGAATTTATTTTCTTCTAAAAATTCCTAAATTGCAATTCTTCTTGTGAAAAAATCTCTTCATTACCTAGGATTACATGGTAATGGAAGGTACTTAGCAGAAAATTTGGCTGGAATAGCGTTAAACTTACAAGTATAGTAAGAATGTGCTTGTCATCAAATCTAATTCATTGAAGGAATTGCATTTTTATTTAAGTTTGTTAACTCTTTCCTTGCCAGGATATTAATAATATTCCCGCAATTCATATCTGAAAGTTAGTTATATTAAACTTTAGTATTTTTGCAATAGTTTAGAAGATGTTGTGAAATAAAGAAATTTTAAGAATATTTTTCCTCAAAAAAAATGGCTAAAAAAGATGAAAAAGAAAATAATTTTCCCTAGAAGTGGCAAAATTGTTCAAAAAGTGAAAAAGAAAAGCATAGATAAAGTAACAAATATGATAGAAATATACTATATTATGTTTGATTTAGTTTTTGATAATAACTATTTTCTGAAGCTTTTTAGTCATTTATGAAGCTAGAGTCTAAATTTTCTAAACCCATTATTAAGTTGCTACTTTTCTCTAGGGTGTGGAAGGGACAATTTTAAAACTCCGATGGCTATATCAATTATCAAGTATTGACAAAAGTCAAAAATCATACTTATCAGTTATCATTGTCTTTGTATGCTTTATTGTGAGCTTACTTGAATTTATGTTTCAGCAGGTGTCTCATGGTGCTATTAAGTTAACAGCCTACGAAGAGCTACGCAAAGTTACTGTTGATTTTAAGAGTAAGCGAAGTACACTCCATAATCAAAACCCTGATAACTTACTGGTAAGTTAGAGGACCTTGGATGTTGGATCTATTTGACTATGGAATTCACATATATTGGACTAATTTACATCCTTCAAATGATTTTTTGATGATTGACCATTTTGGTCACTTGTATTGCTCTCCAAGTCTTGTTTCTAGAAATCATTCCTCCAGTTTGGTTGAGCAAATCGATACATCTTAAGAATCATGATTATGGTTGTTGCATGAATGTGGATAGTGGATGCCTATATAGTTTTTGACTTGATTGTGAACTGGCTTGGTCTTGGTATATTTAAGCTGATATTAGTTGCGTCAGTTAGCTTTTGTTCACTGTTTTTAAATGGCTATGTTAAATTCAAGGATATGTTAATTGAGAGAAATGCAGCTTTATGCATATCCTACATTTTACTTGTTACAAGCTAATACCCTGATAACTTACTGGTAAGTTAGAGGACCTTGGATGTTGGATCTATTTGACTATGGAATTCACATATATTGGACTAATTTACATCCTTCAAATGATTTTTTGATGATTGACCATTTTGGTCACTTGTATTGCTCTCCAAGTCTTGTTTCTAGAAATCATTCCTCCAGTTTGGTTGAGCAAATCGATACATCTTAAGAATCATGATTATGGTTGTTGCATGAATGTGGATAGTGGATGCCTATATAGTTTTTGACTTGATTGTGAACTGGCTTGGTCTTGGTATATTTAAGCTGATATTAGTTGCGTCAGTTAGCTTTTGTTCACTGTTTTTAAATGGCTATGTTAAATTCAAGGATATGTTAATTGAGAGAAATGCAGCTTTATGCATATCCTACATTTTACTTGTTACAAGCTAATAAACTTTTAAGATATGTTTTGTCTGGTATTCTTAGCTTCCTGTTATCCGATTCTTACAAATGATTTCAATTGAATTTATGATAAAAGCAATTAATCAATGTTTTTATGTAAAACTTTTCTAATGCTTTCATATTGTTCTTTTCCCCCAGAATTCTGTTGATTATGCTGTTCTTGGAGCAACATCAAAACTTGCGGCAATACTTCTAACCTATCCTTTTCAGGTTATACGTTCACGATTGCAGGTACAATAATGTTATTACAAAGATAGAGATATTACATATTTCTTTTAACTGTGCATCTGTCTCCAAGCTGGACTAAACTTTCTGTGTCTGCAGCAACGGCCTAGTGGTGATGGGGTTCCAAGATATATGGACACTTGGCATGTTGTGAAAGAAACTGCAAGGTACATATTAAAAACCATCAAGATTTAGTTTACATCTTTATATTGACAAATAAGCAAAGGGGAAATTGGATAGGAATCATAAATAATGCTGTCAATAAATTATAAAAAAGACTATCGTTTCTCTTGTGTGTATCCAAATTAATATGATCTTATTCTTTTCATGTTGAGTCTATTTGTGCCATTATAGATTTTGTTCTGTTCTTGCAGATATGAAGGTGTCCGAGGTTTTTACAAAGGAATTACCCCAAACCTCTTGAAAAATGCTCCTGCTTCTTCAATAACATTTATTGTTTATGAAAATGTCCTAAAATTGCTTAAATCGGCGAGGAGGAATGACTGAGTATTTCATTTTCTTCATGATTCTTTCCCTTCTCCTTATTGGTGTTTAATCTCCCCTCTTATTTGATTTGTAGCATCGAAAAATTGCTCAATTTTCGTATCACTTCTTGATGATAAATTCTGCACAATACACAATCTAATGTGGATTGTGGATGCAATTTCTGGAGATAAAAGAGCATGGTTGCTTTTATATCCGTGTTCCATCTCCTTCATGGTAGTAAGTTCTGTTCTTTCCCTCTTAGAGTGTGTTCAAGGGCTTGAAATCACCTTTTATGACCAAAAGATTGTAGGTCACTTGAACCTTTTGTAGGAGAGATATTTGGAGCTTGTTTGAATACAGTTTAAAAGATTTTGAGTTTTTCTATTAAAAATAAAGAATGTCTTTCATTAGAGAAGGTTTCAGGTGTCCTTCTAGACTTGTATTTAAACGTCCTCTGCTTTTCATCGTTCAGAAATGCTTATTACTGTGAAACGGAACAAAACCGTGCGTTATATAACGGGTTCCTTTTAAAATGTTTCTTTCACATTTTCTTCTATTGTGATCTCCGTTTGTGTATTGTTTTATAGTGCACCTGCTGTATGTCTCATGTCTTTCGTGACCGGTACTTGTTTTTTTTTTTTTTTTTTAATACGTAAAAAATGATAGATAAAAAATAACATCTTCATGATTATTGGATAGAGTTAGTGACATTGAATCTTGTATATAAATACTCGGTAGAAGTATTTTATTATATAAGTAAAAAAAAAAGATTTGACGACAATTTTCATTATAACCATTTATTTCAAGATTTTAATCACTGTACTTTACGTGTAAAAATATTTATCATGTCAACCAATTAAATATTATTATTATCATCAATAATACTTGTTAAAATAATTATTAAAAAAGTTTATCAACTTTATCATATTGAATGATAATATAAAACTATTCATAACCTATTTTCTTTACCATCAATCTAAATGAGAAAAAGAAAAAACACTAAAAAATTAATGAAAAAAACTAACAGTGAATCTTGACAATATGCATTCATTTGTCTGTTTGCGAGCAAACACTGACTCATGACTATTACTGTACTGCGAAGCCGAGCTCCGAGCTCGGCACCACAGTGCAAACCGATCTCGGACGCGCACCGCGTGGCATCAGCTTGGCATTTAAGTGAATCATAACTGATTCCCGAGGATCTCGTCCCAGACGAGGTCCGTTATCTAATCATATTACATCTTATCTCAGGCCCAAGGCCCAAAACAACCCTAAATCACACTAAGGTACGTGCATTACATATACGAGATTCATATTCATACAAACACTAACTTTAGCATCGGAGTCTCTTTTGCAGGTACCACCCTCATCTTGGAGTACGAATGTACCAGTGAAGGAGGTTCACCGATCTTACCTGGCGGATCAGCTCTACAGTAGATTTCCGGTAAGAACAGTTACCTTATTAAAATAATATGTTTTTGTAAGAGTTACAGCCTCTTTTCTAATTTCTAGTTAACACCAATGCCGCATAATTAGAAGTATAATTATTCTTAATTTATATAACATATAGAATTAATAAATCTATTCAAAGTCAAATTACATGTTAGTTGTTCATGAATTGCATTTCTCGCCTTTATTCCCTATAAATCATGGACATTTTGAAATGGATGATTTGTCTAACTTTCTCCCACGGAAGATTAATTTTGTTATATTTTTATTTAACTTGGTGATGATTAACCTTTTCTTCTTACACATGACTTTTAATTATATTACTATAAAGCAAAACCTGTAAAGTCGAAGCTGTCACACAATAAGCTTCATTATTCACACCCGCATTACATAGCTGCTGAACTCCAAAGATATTTGTCTATAATGTCGCAGAAATTTCTTAATTTATATAACATATAGAATTAATAAATCTATTCAAAGTCAAATTACATGTTAGTTGTTCATGAATTGCATTTCTCGCCTTTATTCCCTATAAATCATGGACATTTTGAAATGGATGATTTGTCTAACTTTCTCCCACGGAAGATTAATTTTGTTATATTTTTATTTAACTTGGTGATGATTAACCTTTTCTTCTTACACATGACTTTTAATTATATTACTATAAAGCAAAACCTGTAAAGTCGAAGCTGTCACACAATAAGCTTCATTATTCACACCCGCATTACATAGCTGCTGAACTCCAAAGATATTTGTCTATAATGTCGCAGAAATTAAGGAAACGATAATAAAGCAAATGAAAAGTAAGTATCTTAGAAATTTTGTGAAAATCACTCTACTAAGTGAAAGCTACGATTCCGTGTCACAACCTGGACAAAAGGAGTTTACATTAACAATCACCGATAATACTCTATAAATTGCTAACATTATATGGAAGCACTGGTAGTGAATTTTGTTATGAAGGAAAGGATTTCCTGAGAAACTTGTTGGGCCTTTTCTTGATGTATAAAATGGTGACCGTCTATAATAACCACTTCAAGGTTGGGAACAAGGCTCTTGAAAATATCACTTTCTACAAAATCCTTCGTACCCCCACTTTTAAAACCCATGTCTTTGTCTCCAGCAATGTACTTCGTTGGAACTGTTATCTTTGATCCTTGCCATGGTGCAAGAAGCTCCCAGTTTCTGTAACCATTGAGCATCAACTTAGGTTAAGATTATTTCTTTCATAAAAACATAACACATGTCGGATTTTGTTGTTTATTGTTCTGCTGCAAACATGGTGTGCATGTCACGTCTGTGAGAAGCGTCATATCATAACAGTGTGGTTTCTGGTAAGGATGTAAAAGTTGATGCTCACCTTATAAGTTAATGTAAATTTATCTCCATCCTAAGCTAGTTTAATACTTATTTTTTTGTCAAATTAAACAAATGGAATATAATATAAAATTATTCGTGCATTTTTACATAATCAAAGTTTTTGAAATAGTTCATTCGTGACATACTAATTCCTCTCTCGCAAGTGTGTACAGAAAGTTTTCATGTAAAGATTAAACATTTTTTTTTTACTTTTTAATTATTTCAATCAATAATTATTAGATTGTAAGAAACTACTTATCCAATTAGCTAACAAGCGTAAAGTTGGATTCCTAAATCTGTGACACTGCCGTATACCCTAATCTTTCAATGTAAATATGTTATACGCCATGTTGTTGTCGGCCACTAAAAAAAGAGTTGGTTTTCTAAGTTTGACTATAGTAGAGAATTCATAGTTGCATTGTGTACCTTGTCAGAAATGGAATGATCTTCTAGAATTAAACAAGAAAAGTAGTAATGAAAATACTTACAAGTCCATTGCACGGTAATAATTAAGTGGACCAGTGAAACCAGACTCTTGAAATTTGTCTGCAAAGACCATTAATTCTTCCTCAGTTATCCACGATGGCACAACCGAAGGCGTTGGCAAGAAATCAATAATCTCCATTCCCGGTGGAGCTGTTAGACAATCTGTCCATGTCATCAGCAAAATCTTCTTCATCACTGTCAAATAATCATATCTAGCAAAAGCTCTCTCTGCACGACCTGGTTCCTGCACACAGCACCACATCATATCAGTAAAACCAATTAGATGGAGTTGTTTAGTTGCTTTCACTTTTGATCTAGATATATATAGTTCAACATAACATAGCTTATAGCTTATTATAAAACTTTAATTCTAATAAAGAATACTATAATTACATGATGAAAATGTGTGTATCTAAGTTTTAAGTTTAGTCATTAAAACATTTTGAAATACATATAAATGCTTAAACAAGAAGTAAAGGGAACCTGGAACTGGCAGACATGACTCTCATCTCCAAATAATTTCCTGATAGTTTCAACCGATTTAGTAGTTGGAGATCTTGGGAAGTAAGGGACACCAAGAGCAACA